GAGTATTTTTTGAAATAAAAAAGTCAAAAAGTTTAAGTGATATAAAAAGCAGAATATAATAAGAGCTATGATTCCTTAGAATGCTAGAGGAACAAAAAGCTCATTTAGAAACTTTATTAGGATTTGCTTTTATTTTCTAATTCCTATGGGCAAAAACTATGTAACATTAATGTGTAAAATGTTTACTCCTTGCCTACCAGGCAATATTAAAACAGCTTAAAACACATATTTGAGCATTTACATTAAAGATAATGTACTTAATTAAGGGCTCCAAAGAGTGATGCTATCTATGTGAAAGAACCTGTTCTTTTCTTTGTAGGAAAGTGAAGTACCTGAAGAGGTTGATCCTTCTTATATATTTTGTGTGGAGGGGAGGGCGAGAGATGCTTCAGCCATGGTGGCCCTGAATAGTGAAGCTTTAAGTATGAAAATATTATAATTTATAGTTAAGAGGCTACTGCACATTTGCTTATAACAAAAATTAAAATATACTCTCATCAACAGGCTCATTTGCAAAGACAGTAGATCCACTAAACAGGTTTATCAGTAAAATTCCTGTGTTCTTTTTTATAGCTTCTGATTGAGGGAAAAAGCTGTTTCTGAAAAGTTACTGCCATTTGTCAAAAGTACACTGTTTTCATAGAGGAGGGATTTCAAGATTGGCTGTGTATAATTTAGAATTGTTTCTAAGATAACAGGATGTTTGTATCTAATACTTCAAAATGAAAAATTCTAAGCTTCTTTCAAAAAGTGGCAAAAATACCTTAAGTCAACTGTTTTGGCACTTTAAAAAGTTGTCTCACAGAGACTTCGAAGTCCACTGATATTCTTTGGGGGCCTGGTACCAATTATGCATCTGGGACTCAAAACAGTAGGGTAGTCCAAAATCCCAATTAGTCAGAACAGAAGGAATAGAGGGGTGGGCGGGGGAATAACTTGAGGAAGGGAGCAATTGGCAGCTCTCTGCTTATTAAAATCTTATTTATCATTCAAGGTAAAACTTAAATTTCCCCCTCCTCCATGAAAGTGTCTCATCTGTGAACTCCATAGGCAAAAAGCTAACATTTCTATCTCAGAACTCTCAAAGTACTTAATGCTGGTACCATTTAGCTGGTCAACACTTTCACTTTACTGTCTTACATTATCTTTTCTCTTTCATACACAAATACATGTAAGAATCACAGACAGATACATATCTCTTTTCACACACAGAGCTCTTTAAGAGATGACATTTCCTGTAGCATTTAATACAATGCTTTGCAAACCACACATGGAAGGAAATGATGCCATCATTCATCTTGCACTTCTGTTCTTAGAATAAGGTTATTTCCCTGCTACTCCAAGTTTCTGCAACTGCACGTATAGCTGGTCAAAAATGTGCATTTCAGCATCATTGGGCAGGCACCCTTCTACAAGTTTTTATATATTGCTTAATAAGAAATTAATTTGCTTGAAAACTTGAAGGTAGCAATATGTGCTTAGTAGCAAAAAAGTCAATTTTCTATTGGGTATTCCTACACACAAGTGGAACGATGATAAGGATAATTGTTTACTGAGCACCTACTCTACACCAGGCACATTACATACAATGTCAAAAACTATGGGCAAAAATTATGTAACATTAATGCATAAAATGCTTACTCCTTGCCTACCAGGCAATATTAAACCAGCTTAAAACACATATTTGAGCATTTACA